ACATAAATTAATTGAAGGGGAACAAGATATTTACAGTTGTAACGTTTCATCCATGAGTAACATAACAAAATTAGCTTTCTGACCAAACTTTACAAATCAAACTATCAAATCATATTTTTTTATGATCGATATTTTTTTCTAGAAAATAGTTCAAGTGAAAACAAAAATTTTTCAGCTTAAGAGTGGGAGCTCTAGCTCAGCCTTAAGCTTTGGCTTTACCTAGTTTTACCTAACACCCTAGTAAAAAATGTACAGAAACGGGGTCCGGCCCACTCACCAAGACTTCTTTCACCCAACACGCAACTGACCCAAAGTCTACGGCTGAAGGGCCTTTTCACCCCCCCCCCCCCCTATTTTTCGCCCAAGGTCCGTTCACCCACATAGTTACCTCACCCTCTCTCACCCAAGCCGAAACATTTCGCGCAAATAATCGAACGCCGCGAGGAGTATTGCCGGAGCCTGAGTTGCGGAGTATCGTCCGGGGTCAGGAAAGACCCGGTGCAGGCAGGTGGTATTTTAATTCCAAGACAATGGGAAAGCGTTGCCCATGATATAATAAGAGAGCTCCACACAACATTTTCGGAAAAGTTTTAACCATGAAACAAAATCCGCCCCCTGCTGAACACCAAATCGGAAGTCGGATTGGGTCAGGAGTCTACATTTAATACCCTGTACAAGACTCGGAGGGCCAAGAAAGAACTTGGCGTGGTTTTGCAAGCACTAGGTTGGTAGGTTGCTGTGCCTGTGCACTGGAAAATGCTTGCTAGCTATCTTCTTTTCAACGCACGTGTACGTTGTGAAAAAATTATGGTAATGTTTACAGGAAAATATTCCTTGACGCAAGTCGAAAAAATTACAATCTGCAATTGCGAGGGGGCCATAACTCCCTTTTGATGTGATGTGTATACATGAGTCCCGAAATTCTTGATCCCCAGTGATTCCCGTCCGTTTCAACTTATTCCTTAGGTTTTCTAGTGGTAGGAAACGCATATTTTGACTAATTTATACCAGTTCCACTAGTTTCCTGCTTATTTTCAGCGATTTCTGTTGATTTCGATTAATTTTTATCCAGACGATTCCCAGGCAGGTGTACACATGATTTCCAAAGTTATTGCCCCCTCGTGCAACACTAAAAGTACATCTACATCGATGCCAAACGACTAAGTTCAATGTGTAGTGGCCGGGTACATAAAGTTCGATCTGCAGCGGTTCGGCTAAACAAAGTCCAATCTGCAGCGGCCTGGTTACTAAGGAGTTCGATATGCTTTCGGGGGGTTTCTTCGGCCTACATATAATAAAGTCCTCGTCAATATTAGAGGTAGAAAACAAAGTATAAGCTGCTTAGTGTTTCTGAGAGATTATAAAACAAGATACTACAAAAAAAAAAAACATTCTGCCACAACAAAATTGTGGTGGAGGTCTAAACTTGCGTCTCCCGCGAGCGGCCAAAAGCAGATCGAACTTTGTGTAACCGGACCGTTCTAGATCGACCTTTGTGTAACAGGTCCGCCACACATCAAACTTTCGGGGGCATCGATATGCAGTGCGTATCGACTAGAAATGCACTGGAGAGTTAAAAATGTTCTCTCGTAAATTAACAACTTAAATTATAATTCGAGTGTACAAAAATTGTCTAAGTTTACGACGACATATTTTACAGTGTAAGGAGTTCCGGGATCAGATGCGGCCGGGCTCATGTCCAGTCCAACATCCCGTCATATACACATTCCTATCCCAATAGACCTTTTCGCCCACGACGTGCCAACCGCAAGTAGAATTTTATACTTGAAATAAACCGTATTTTGAGTGCCTGTCAACGAAATTACTCATCACCAATGGATTCCTTGGAAAATTCGCCAGGGAAAAGTGTTTTCGAAAATTTGCCCAAATTGAAAATTTACCACAGTGATTTGCGCTGTTGCAAAATAGTGGGCGAAAAGATCTATACCGCCCAATTTGGTGTTACGTACGCCTTCCGTTGGTGTGATGAGTAACATGGCGAAGAAACAGGTGATACTGCCAAAGACACAGACGACCATAAGACTTCTGATGACTCCCTTACGGAACATTCTTTGCCCGCTAGCGCTGAAATTTAATTTCAGAAACTTGTTGCCAACAAATATAAACACACAGAAATAGACACTCTTTTAACCTGCTCGTCTGCGATTGAAAAGCCTACCAGTAGACTTACGCTTAGCGAAGCCCATTACTCAACTGACCGGCAAAAGTTTCATTCTGTATTGTTCAGTTTGTCTGTCGCACGATAACTCGAGAAGGAATTGAGCTAGCGATCTGGGAATTTCAGGATCGTTTTGTACCATAGAAAGACAGATCGAGTTCGAAGATGAGCATTCTAGCTCAAAAATTGACGTGAAAAAAACAACACAGGTCGCAAAATGTATTTCATATCGAATAGTTTTTTATGGGCTCCTAAGGGGTAACTCGTAAAAGTAGAACTCCAATATTAAAATAATAAGTCCCCGACAAATGCTGCAAGTATGCCAAATTTTGGGCCCGGAAGGCCCTGTTCCCACATAGGGCTTTTAACTCGTCTTGGGTGTCAGCGCCTAGCTGTGTGTGCGCCAGGCTCATCGCAGCGTATCAGTGTTTCGTGAGATATCGCGAAGCCTGTTAAGCGAGACGTCTGGCGTACATATAGCTAGTTCAATAACGAAAAGATGATTTGAAAGTTTTGGTCTGCCTGCTTGGGCTTACGGTCAGTCCAAGCAACCTCTCAACCAAGGAAGAGAAATGGGGTACGAAAGACAGGGGCATAACTACAACAGGCCCGCCCTTTTACACTGTATAAAATAGAGACGGATACAGTACCAGGTACGGCGTACAGTACGTGCCAAACTGAAATATGTTACGGAGCACAGAGTGCGAAAAGACCGTACGCACTGCCTTTTTACCACGGAGCAGAGTTCGGAAAATCGTCCCAGTGCGACCGACCATCGTGCCTACCGACTCGGTCACTGCCTGCCTCCGACCAGCGGCTCGTGTGGTCGAACGCACTCCTCGCCGAGAGGGTGTTCCAGGCATTCGAAAACGGAAGTGAAAAAGAACAAACTCACTGACTTATCTGTTTCAGTCCGCCCAGTACATAGATGTACGCCAGACCACGTCTCGCGTAACATGCTTCGCGATGTCTCACGAAACATTGTTACGCTGCGACGCGCCTGGCATACATCTACCTAGGCCTGCGGCGGTGACACCCGAGTCGGGCAAAAGAAAGTGTCGTAAATAGGCCTTCGGCTCGTAAAGTCACAAATCCTGCTCCACAGGGTTTTATTTTGACGAGTTGACCCATCAGAGACCATAAGATTTTAGAGAAAAAAATTGAAATGGTTTGGGGTCATTTCCGTGTGGAAAACTCCCTCTGGTGCCTCAACGGTTAGAGATAGAGCCAAACGGACGAAATTTTTGTTCAACGTGTTCTACTTAATCGATTTACCTCATAAGAACGCACTAAAAAATATTTGAAAAAAAAATACATTTTGCGACCTGTCGTTTTCGATTTGTTTTTAAAGTCGATTTTTGAGCTAGAATGCTACCTTCGGACTCGATGTGTCTTTTGACGATACAAAACGATCCTGAAATTTCCAGATCGCTTTCTCAATTCCTTCTTACTTCTGACTTATCGCGCGTACAGACAGACAGCCAGACAAACAAAGAGAATGAAGCTTTTCCGGTCAGCGCAGTACTGAGCTTCGCTCATCGTTCAGCCAATAACCTTGGCTATAGTCTAATTTTTCGAAAATAAAAAATCGCCGGGAAACGTAAGCTGTCATTTTTGACGCTGAATCGATTAAGACCCGGCGCGGAACGACGCATTCAACTTGACGTTTTCCTGGGACAGTCTAATGGTACAGCCACAAGTGAAGAACTAGTTAGTTGGTGTATGTACACTCTTATCACAAAAAATTAGAATTAATTTTACCCCATTTAGGCACTTTTTCCACTGGGGTCCTAACTGTTTCGGAGGTGACGTGCAGAAGAGCGAACTGTCACAAGCACGACCAGTCGTGAGCGCGAATGCCGCAAGCGCGACCCGGCGCAAGCGCGAACGCCGCAAGAGCGAACGACCGCAAGAGCGAACGACCGCAAGCGCGAAGTGTCGGAAGAGCGACCCGCAACAAGAGCGACCCTCGCGGGGCGCAGCTTCCGCGCAAGCGGCTTTAGGCTTCCCAGAAAAGAATAGTGCACCTCAATAGAGCTAATAGAGATCCATAATGGCTCCCCTCCAGTTTCGGTGCGACTTCAAGACGACTTCGGCACCCGCGAGATCTCACCAGTCCTCGCGAGTCCTCGAGGAAATTCGCGAAAGGACACCGCGAACCCCCGCGAAAGGAACCGCGATCACTGAAAGACACCCGTTAACATACCCGTGATACTTAAAATGGGACACCCGCGACAGGAGACTCACGGCTCGCGACCGCGACTCGCGATCCTACTACATCCCCCAGCCACAGGTGCCGAAAGTCGAAGCGAAGCCATTGGACCTCTATTAGCCCTTTTGAGCAGCACTAGTCTTTTGCTGGGAAGACTATTGCCAAAGCGAGACGGGCGAGATCAAGGCATAGGTCGAGAGGGTCTCGCAGTCGTGTATGAGGGATTCGGAGGAACTGTGCAGGGACATTCATGTTATGAACGTTTTACCAATACAAGTACACGTAACATAGACAGCAAACCGATGCCAAGGCTGGTCACAGTTTAGCAGCAGCAGAACATAATCAACGGCCAGAGTTCTTCCGAATCCCTCATACACGACTGCGAGACCCTCTCGACCTACGGGTCGATCTCGCCCGTCTAGCCGTGGCAAGCCGCTTGCGCGTAGGCTGCGCCTCGCGAGGGTCGCCCTTGTGGCGGGTTGCTCTTCAGACACTTCGCGCTTGAGGTCGTTCGCTCTTTGCCGCGTTCGGCGCGCGCAAGAAAAAAATATTTTCTTGAAAGATTATATTTAAGAGAGACCTCTTCCAAAGTTTGAACGTCGTGCGATAATGCTAAGCCGGGTCGCACCGGGCTTTTCTGTCTATGTAAGAAAAGGGGTGTGCAGACTTCGGTACCTTCTATGCCTCGCTACTCAGCAGTTGGGCGACCGCGATGCACGAAACTCAATGCTGAAATGGATCCTTTCGAGGTCTAGTCTACTTTCTGCATCACAACTTACCAGTACTCGATCCTCTCGCGAGTACATGATCAAAGACTCGTTCAAACAGGCTCGACTGACAGAACTCAGAGAAAAATGCTTTCATAATGGTAGGGCTTTCGCGGACGTACGACGTACGCCCCTCCCCTAGGACTATACGTGGTCAGAGGGTCTCCACCGCCCTTCCCGAAAACAAAACGCAAAATTGTAGAAAGTGAAAAAAGTGCATATCCGCCTGTGAATTAAGCAGTACCAATGCAGTAGACTGTCCAGTCCAAAAGTCTAGTAGCAAGTTTCGTAGTTCCCCCGATCGGAATCAATTCTAGGGACAGAAATAAGGTTAACGTATCTCGGCGATTTTCAATTTTCGAAATAAAAAAAAGGTTGGGAATCGGTCACAAAGATTTTCGATTTTTAAACGAACCTATTTCTACCGAACACGGGGGCCCAGCGTCATGGTACAACACCACCTGTTGCATTTTGAGCCGCGCCTAAAACAGCCCAACAATGAACCAACAATGAACTTCGAGTGGACCAATAGGGTATTCCAATGGAGCGCGGAGCGGAAGCAAGAAGAACAAAAACGGAAGGTGGAAAGGCGCCCGCACTCCTCCCCGCCTGCCCTCCACTCCTCCCCGGACGCTCCCCCACTCCGTCTAGTAGCGGAGAGGGGGACGCCGCGGCCGCCTTTCCACGTTCCGTTTCTGTTTAAAAAAAT